AAATAAAAATCAATATTAATTCAAAACCCAAATTTTGAAGAATTATTTTTAAAAGCAAAATTTGGCAAAACTTTGAATATAAACTTTGCTCCAAATTGCATCTTAGCTACTTCTAATTGGTCTAAGTGATCAACCAAGGTACACACATGGCAAAACAAACATAGCATGGCATTTCACATTATTTCAAACATAATGAATTTTAATCAATTTAAGTACCACATGAAATGATACTTCACTTCTTTCGAAATGAGATGCACGAATGATGCTTATGCATGAGGTGATGATGATTATGCTCATGGGATGAAATGTTAATGCATGCTTAACACCGAGGTGTTACAGGTCCTTCTCCTCTTCTCTACGCCGCCACATCAGCAGGACTGGACGCACCCACTCCGCGTCCAGTCATGAAGTGACCTAGCGTCCGATCGAAGACCGACGCCAGCGTCTTCACTGCTTCCACTGACCGGACGCGTCGGTCTACTCTGTGAAACCCTGTCTTTTCTGTATAGGGCACCGGTGGCACCGTCAGACAATCCGCACTCTACGGGCGGACACTCCGCCGGTGAAGTTTCGAACCTTTGCTTCCAAGTGCTAAATACAATGTGTATCACCTTTGTGCGTGTGTGTTAGCATATTTTCACAAAAATATTTTCAAGGGTGTTAGCACTCCGCTAGATCCTAAATGCATATGTAATGACTTAGAGCATCTAGTGGCATTTTGATAACCGTATTTCGATACGAGTTTCACCTCTCTTAATAGTACGTCTATCGAATCTAAATGTGATCACACTCGCTAAGTGTCTTGATCACCAAAACGAAATGGTTCCTACCACTTATACCTTTGCCTTGAACCATTTGTTTTTCTCTTTTTTCTTTTTAAGTCCAAGCACTTGATCATCACCATGACATCACCATCATCATGTCATGATCTTTATTTGTTTCACCACTTGGAATGTGCTACCTATCTCATGGTCATTTTGATAAACTAGGTTAGCACTTAGGGTTTCATCAATTCACAAAAACCAAACTGGAGCTTTCAGACTGTTTGCGTTGGAACTTCCCGTTGCTGGAAGTTCCGGCTCAAACTGTCAGAACAGTTGTTGACATTTGACTTTGAGTTTGTATAGAATTTTTTAGATACGTCTATTCACCTCCTCCTCTAAGCATTGTTTAGATCATTTCAAGATGTCTCTAAATTCTCCATACGGTAACCCTCATTGGAGATTGCAATGGTACGTATGTATAGTTTAGACTGGGCGATAACAATTTGGTCAAGATTTTAGTTTATAATTTGATTAGTTGGACCAAAGACTGAACCATTTAAAATAAGCAAATTGTATTCCTAATTGAAACTACACTAATATCTTGGTGGTGGATTTTTTCTCTTAAAAAATATCAAGAATTCAAAATTTTAAAATATTATATTTATTTTAATTATTTATGAATAATCGGATAAAAAACATAACTGGAGATCAAACAGAAAAAAAGGCTGAGAAGATGGAACATAACGTAGAGAAAAGAAAAAAGTAAGACGCAAAAAAAAAAAAAAGAAAAAACCAAACATGAAAGAAAAAGAAACCATACGTGCAAAACAAAACAGAAAAAAGGAAAACATGACGTGGGGAAAATAATGAGATGCAAGGAAAAGGGAAACCGAACGTCAGAAACCAAAATTCATACGTGCAAAAAAAAAACCTGAAAGAGATGGACGCGGCACCGGGACTCAGTTGGAAATCGGTGATAAAAAAGAGAGTCTAGAAACTATTGGTTATCTTTTATATGGATACGGCATAAGATTAGGACAATTTTTATTTTTATCGTTTTCTATTTGGATTTCAATTTGATCTCTATTCAACCTACCCAGGATTGGAAGTATCTATTTAGATTAGGATTAAGATTCGTTGGACTCAGTATCGCGCTATACAAGAGTTATTCTAACTTATATGAGCACGGGTTATTAAATATATAAGTTTAGATGGAAGAACTCTTTATTATCCAGTAGTCGAGAGAAAACGGACAAAAAAAAAGATGGACAAAAAATAGACTGAAATTTTGCCTCTTTATTAATAGGTATAGATACTATCTTTGATAATGTCAAAAGTGTAATTTGAGATAAATTTAGATGTTACTTACTTTATATTATCTTTTATGATACCAATTAATTGTATATTTGGGGATGAATTTAATTAATATTTTATAACAATTGAGATTGGTGTTATAAAAAATCTGAATAGATTTAAAGGGTACTATTGTGTGGATGATGACCATGATTAATGGTCATATTTTTATTATTAAAATGTCTATAATGTATTTTTTTCCCAATGCGTTTTGTTAGGATTAAAGTTGAGAGCCTCTAATCAGATATGCTTTAATTTTATAGTAGTCCAAAGTCTAACTTGATTCAAGCTAGATGACCAATGTATAGATAACGAAATATAAGTATTAGACCTAATCATGGGCCACCCAACCTGCCAATGCGTTGAGTCAGACTCAGGTCATAATTTTGCACCTATGACTCGATTCATCCCGAGAAAACCTAACCTAACATAAATCTGGGAAATAACCCGACCCAGCTTGATCCGCTAGTGCATCGGATCAGGCTCAAACTAAAAAATTTGATCTAATAGTGTTTAAGCCTAACCCAAACCTAGCTGACCTGATTTGGCGTTTGATCAGATCTACGCTCCGTTCGCTTGGCTTATAAGCCATACTTTTTCAATCAACAAACAATATTTTTCTCTCACAATAAATCAGTCAACAGTACTTTCAGCCATTACTTTTCAGCCAAACTAATCAGTAAGGAGTATGCCATGATCCATATATGAGCTCAGAGCTGACAGCTTGGGCCAATGTGTCGGAGACTAGTTTACGAAAATAGTCTATATTTATATCTAATACTAAAAAGGAAAAATTTCTATCATAAATGATTTTTTGTCCAACTTAATACTAAAATGACTCGGTCTTGTTCATCGGCCCCGGAAAACCGTGTCTGTTTTTTTATCTGTTAACCACTGTTGTATCCGACGTTCCCATCCACGTGTCCTCCTGTTTCTTTTCCTTCTTTTTTCCGTTTCCTCCGCTGCTCCGTTCTATACGTGAGTTCTTTTTTTCAAATTTTCTCCCCTATTTTTCCAACAGGAAATCAGATGGAATAAATTGAGAAAACATAGTATAGAAGGAAACGATGTAGGGGTTCCAATCCAAACGTAGGCCCCGTTCGCTTGCGAAAAAAAGCCAAAGCCAAACATCGTATGGCCGGTTGCAATGAGAGAGAAATTTTAATACATTTGGTTGATGAATAGTGCCATTGTGAGGAGAATTTGAGCCGGACTGGTCGAAATCTTTTTGACCGAACGGCACCGTAGAGTAGAAGGAATAAATATATAAAATCAATGGTAAACAAACATGGATTTAGCATTCCAATAAAAAAGCAACACAGATCATGTCTTGCAAATCTTTTTCAAATCGAGTCTAACACGGAACTACCAGAGCGAGGTAAACAAGGAGACGACTACAAATAAAATCGGATGACATAAACCTGTCGTCGTCTTGGTGTTATGTTCTGGCATCGCGATCGCCGTGGTTGATCAGTTCTAAGATTCGCCGTGAGTTGTTAGCCGCCACATCTCCGCGCATTTGAGCCAACAGGAAATCGGATGACCCTATAAATTGAGAGCTCATCTACCGCACTTTGCGCCGCGGACCTCATGGTGGCCATGGTAGGTGGACGCTTGAAACGGCCTGGCACATAGCAACAAGGTTGTCGTCGCCTCAAACCTATCACGCCGTAGTCAACACCTTGACGCCAGGACCCACCATCCTTGCACTCTGGGCGGCCGGAGATCCCTTTAACCCACAATGCCAGGACCTGCTCGTGTTGAAAGGGGCTCCACCATGACCCGCTTCGCTGAGCTTGCAGACTAACGCCACGCCGTGGTGCTCCAGCAGAAACTACTCTTGAAGCTCACAAGTTAGCGTTTTTTCAAGGGGCTTGGAAGAGCTCGCACCGAGCTCTCCTCCGTGAGCATGCTCGCCTCTCCCAAGCAGCAAGATCCGAGAAAATAGAGACAAGAAGTGGTTTCCCACGTGTGCTCGAGTGCTCATGGACACGTGAAACGCTCTAGAAATTTATAGTAAGGGGATGTTTGGTTTCTCCTCCTAAACTTTAATTGTTGTCCTATCGGATGTTTGGACACATGCATGAAGTATTAAATATAGACTAATTACGAAATTAATTGCACAATTTACGACTAATTTACGAGACAAATCTTTTAAGCCTAATTAGGCCATGATTTGGCACTGTGGTGCTACAGTAAACATGTGCTAATGATGGTTTAATTAGGCTTAATATTTTTTTCTCGTGGAGTACTGACGGATTCTGTAATTTGTTTTTTTATTAGTATCTGAACACCCCATGCAACACCCTCACGTGACATCTCCTAAATTTTAGTCACTCGATCCAAACAGCCCCTAAGTTAACTCTTATAATTCATTGGCTGCGTTCGCTGGTAGTTTCAGACCAGCCAGCCGGCTGAACCCCCCTCACGCGTTACTATTCACCAACCAGTCAAACAGTATTTTTCTCTCACAACAAACCAGCCGAAACAGTGTTTTTCAGTCAAGTTTCAGACCAGCGAACGAGGCCATTCACTAATAGTAACCGTGTCATGAGATAAGATGTCTTTTATTTTGTTCCATGCAGGTACAGAAAAGACAACGGATTAAATCATAATAATCGTTGTCCATTACGTTTTTAAGACTGATTTTTGTCCCGTTGTAATTTGCTAGTATATATAAATGTTTCTTCTATTAAAATTCCATTTCTAATGTCTACTTATTGCTAATTGGACGAATTTTAGAGGAGGCAGCAAGTATAGATAAGCAGTATCCAAAGGCTGGTATTATAAAAGCTGGGCTCCTCCAATCCGACGCTCCTCACTGTCCTTGTCACTCTCACCGGTTCACCGCACAGTGAGCCCACCACCGTACCGTACCACGAAATGCGGAGGCCGCCCAAGCCCAAGCGAGCGGCGGCGGCGGCCACCTTCCTCCTCTCACTCTCCCTTCTCCTCCTGCCGCTCGGCTTCGTCGCCACCCACAGGGCATTCTCCAGTGGCGTCGCCGCCGCGTCCACGTCCACCGCCAAGCGTGTTCTTCTCGAGGACGACGGCCATGCCAATGCCGCCGCCGCCGCCGAGCACGCGGCTGCCGTGGAGCGGCACTGCGCGGGGATGCTGCACCGCGACGTCTGCGCGTCGACGCTGGCCACCATCCCGGACCTGGCGCAGAAGCCGGTGCGCGACGTGATCTCAGCGGTGGTGGCGCGCGCGGCGGCCGCGGTGCGCGCGTCCGCGTCCAACTGCTCCGCGTACCTCCGCCGGCCCGCGGGGGCCGGGGCGCTGCGGGTGCGCGACCGCCTGGCGCTGTCCGACTGCGTGGAGCTGCTGGGGCACACGCTGGCGCAGCTGGGCACAGCGGAGGCGGAGCTGTCGTCGGGGAACCGCAGCGCGGAGGAGTCCGTGGCCGGGGTCCAGACCGTGCTGTCGGCCGCCCTGACCAACCAGTACACCTGCCTGGACGGCTTCGCGGGCCCGTCGGCGTCGGAGGACGGCCGCGTCCGTCCCTACATCCAGGGCCGCATCTACCACGTGGCCCACCTGGTGTCCAACTCCCTCGCGATGCTGCGCCGCCTCCCGCAGCGGCGCCGTCGGGGCAGAGAGGCTCTGGAGCTGGAAGGGTACGGGCGCGTGCGGCGCGGGTTCCCGTCGTGGGTGTCGGCGGCGGACCGGAGGCGGCTGCAGCAGCAGCAGGTGGTCCTGGTCCCGGACCTGGTGGTGGCCAAGGACGGGAGCGGCAACTTCACGACGGTGGGGGAGGCGGTGGCGGCGGCGCCCAACAACAGCGAGGCGCGGTTCGTGATCTACATCAAGGCGGGGGGCTACTTCGAGAACGTGGAGGTCGGGAGCGAGAAGACCAACCTGATGTTCGTCGGCGACGGCATGTGGAAGACGGTGATCAAGGCCAGCCGCAACGTCGTCGACAACTCCACCACCTTCCGCTCCGCCACGCTAGGTCAGTAAGTACTCCATCAGCCACCTATTATATGGGAAGAATTAATACTCATCAATCAGATCACTTGCCTTTGCCGGCAATGCAATGTCGTCGGAGGCATTGGCATTTGGCAAATAGGAGTATGTAGATAGATGATCATCCGCCTGTTCGGTCGGGACCGATCGCGCAATGCAGCGGTAGATCATCGTGATCCTTTCTAGTGGACCCCCGTCGGTCGTGTTCGATCGTGCCGGAGACGAAGACGAACGACGACAGGCGCTGTGTCACTCCGGCCGGCGTACTAGTTTTTTTACACCGGTGAATGGAAGATCCTGCATTTGCCCTGCCCCTGCTGCAGCTGGACTCTCCACTGCTAGTACTATCACGGATCACTTCACCGAGTAGAATAGAAAGATTCGACGATGCAGAGTCAGGTTACTGTGCCTCATAAACACAAGCAGCACAGTGCAACTCGATGATTGCATCTCTAGTACAGGATTGCATTGCTGGGCGCGCATGGCGTTACGCCGGACTTTTCCAGCCAACCAACGATATTTTTTCTCTCGCAACGAATGAGCCAACGGTTTCATCCATGGCCTACATACGCGTGCATGAGCCGGCTAGATCGTGCCCGTACACAAATGTACACGCACGAGTGTCGTACGTAGTAGTAAAATAGGAGTAGTACTAGGTACAGAGCTTCGTTGCCTCTGCTACTCGTTCTGCCAGGACTGATGGGTGCGTGACACATGCTAGGTCGCGGCTCGCCGATAGATGTAGCTTGCTATATAGGAGTACTAGGTTGGCGATGACAAACTAGGGCCCTGTTGGTCGGCCTCCAACTCCAGCCTTTGGCGGGCATTCTCCTCCTTGCAAGTTGCAAGAGATCAGAGGAGCAAGAATCATTTTTTACTAAAAAGTCAGAGCTTAAGAAAGTGGTTCTTTCAGTTCTTTCTCATAAACCTAATAACAATACAAAATTATTACAAAATTAGTACCGAAGCTGGGTTTTGTCGAACCTTTTTTTTTCAAAACGACTTCGGCTTCGCCATAGAAGCTGCACCACGTGAAGAGCTAGAGCCAAGGTCCTACTAAACAGGACCTACATGATACAAGCGAGCAGACAGCATAAATAAACTTAATACTTATGGGTTATATGGTAACATGTAAAAACTAAGTTTATTTGTGGATTTGCAGACAAGTTTGACAACATACCTAGAGCCAAACTACCATGGGTTGACTGTTAGCAAATCGACGCCCACCCTAATCAACTCCCAACACCATTCCCCTTTCCACAAGGTAGAGCTAGAGACAAAAGGAGACTCATGCCTCATTTGGTGTGCCTTCAAACGGCTCTAAACCTTTTTTGCTGCAGTGCATGGAGTAGCCGGAGACCAGTAAAGTCCGGTTTCTAGTCTATTTTGAGAGAAAATATAAAATAGCTTCTTGTTACATTACAGTATACATATGGAGTAGCCAGAGCTAAACAGCCTGTTCGTTTTGACGTAAACGATCGTAGATTATTTACTGCTGGCTAGTTTGAGGTGAGAGAAAAATACTGTTCTAGTTTATAATTTACGATCGTATACGAGCAAGCGAACAGACTAAAAGCCCGTTGGAGCTCTCCACCAAATGGGGGGGCATATATGAGAGTTCTATTTGAAGCAACATATATAGGGTCTATTTAGGACGGTTCTACAAGCTCCACCGCGGAGCAGCTTTGAAAAAAATCTAAAATTTCTAGAGCATCCTCTTAGCTGTTCTCTAAACTCCACCTCTTTTGTTAGAGCAAAATTTGTAAAATTACACCTGTTTAACTAAAAAACATGGAGCGAAGCAGTATTAAACATGCCCCTAAGTGGAGAGAGCGCACCATGATTATGAGGCATCACCTGATACCAACTCGGTATGCTACTTAGTTTTAATAATGTGGCGAACGGAACGGCTGTTGGCCAATACTAAGGCCTTTTTAAATTCAGGACCTGAAGTAAGGATGTCACATCGGATATTATATATGGGTGTTGCATGGGTGTTCGAATACTAATAAAAAAATAAATTACAGAATCCGTCGGTAAACCGCGAGACGAATTTATTAAGACTAATTAACCCGTCATTAGCACAGGTGTTACTGTAGCACCGCGTTGTCAAATCATGGACTAATTAGGATTAAAAGATTCGTCTCGCAAAGTAGTCGTAATATATATAATTAGTTATTTTTTAGTCTATATTTAATACTCTATGTATGTGTCTAATATATTCGATGAGATAGGGTGTAGACTTTTAGAAGAAGAACTAAACAAGCCCTTAAAAAAATACTCTACTGTGTAGTACTCTATTGAACAGCCAATGCAGGAGGCTGCGCTGCACTTGAGAATTGAGGCCTTGTTTAGATGCCTTCAAAATTCCAAGTTTTTTCACTCTCTCTCTATCATATTAATTTTTAGCTGTTTACATGGAGCATTAAATGTAGGTAAAAAAATAACTAATTGCACGGTTTAGTTGGAAATCACGAGATGAATCTTTTGAGCTTAGTTGGTCCACGATTGGACAATATTTACCAAATAAGACAAAAGTATTACTATTTATCGGGTTGAAATTTTTTTCAATCTAAACAAGGCCTGAAGGAACACTGCACTGCACTGCACTGGCGCAGGACACGCTCTCCTTGCTCCGTGGCATGCATTTGGAGTTATGCAGCACGGGAATGGTTAGGTGAGGAGCCAGAGCAAACGCCCATGCATTAACGCGGCCGCGCGCGTGGGCCTGACTCTAAGCTGCCGGCCACTGCGAAAACGGAGATGGAAGCGCATGCAAGTGATTTCGTTCTGCGATCGGTCTGGACGGGGAGTGGCTTCAAGCTCATCAACCACACACCGCTACAAGCGAAAGGGTGTGCATGCAGGCAGCCACAACCACCAGGGTACCACACCATGCCACCATGCATGGCCACCGGATCGGAGAGGATAGATGGAGGCGATTTCGTGGTGCTGATGCTGGCGTCTACTCCGTATCTAGCTGTGGTCTCCCCTCTTCTCTCCCCGTCTTTTAATTTGTCGGTCCTTGGCTCGTAGCTAGCTGCTTCCTTTCTTCTCTCCCTTGTGCCTTGTGTGGGAGTGGACAGGACGAGTGGTGTGTAGTGGATGCCGGCCGGCCGGCCGATTGGTCGTCGATCGGTCTCCCCTCTGGTCCCTGCAGCTGCATAGTGCCAGTGCGTGGGGTGGGGATGATAACCTCTACTCTATTCTAGTACAATTGAACCACGCTTGAACAATGAACACACAACACATGCATAGTGGGCACCGACAGTCGACAGATTCGTTCATCACTCTTGGTCTTGGCACTTGGCTGGCGAATTGCATTGATGAATCACGCTCCAAATTAAACACACAATGATCGTAACCTGCAGCAGCTATAGGCGCCGTAGCGTCCAGGATCATTGCTCATTTCCTCTTGCATTGCATCCATCCCGAATGCATGCAGCATGCTTTCTTCAATTCCCCTCCGATCCGATTTCTACTAGTACTATGCATGGGCGCAGCTAGAACGATGCAATGCAATGCTGCAAAGATGCCACCGTAGCAAAAGAACAGCAGCAAGCCGACACAGCCCCGCCCGGCCTGGCCCTACCTACCAACCAACGGATCGAGCGAGCTGCTGAGACTTGAGAGACTAGCTAGTACCTCCCATGGCCTAACCGTACCGACAGACCGGCCGGCGGCGTGCCTCGTCTACCGCGCCGCGCACCAACCTCAGCTCCTCGATCGGTCCGTGGCCTTGTCGCGGCCGCTGGACAGAAGCGCCCGCCCGCTCGCTCTATAGGGCTGGTGTCGCCATTGCCTGGCCGAGATCGATCCATACCATGATCCATCGGTGGTGACAGGGAATGAAGCACGTACCAAACGCTTGTTTTGGCCCAGCAGCCAGCAGAGATCTCGAGGCAGCTAGTAGCGGCAGACGACGATCGATGAGAGCGAGAGGGCTGTCAGCTCTGGTTGGCACGCCACTTTCGCCTCTTGGTGCGTGCCGTGTCGGTGTGCAACGTATAGTACGCACGCAATGATGGAGCATCGCCGGTACACGTGCCCGCTCACATGCCACTTGTGGGCACTTGCGATGCATGCGTACACCCGTCGCCAGCTAGCCAGCGATACGTACGTACGTGGTACGTACACGTATGTCAGTCATGTCGGCTGACAGATCTGCATAGCTAGCAGTAGCAGCAGCAGTTTCATTCAATCGACTGTACTACACCAGGCCATCTGACGCCTGATCTGATGTCGTCCGATCCCCCAGCGGTGGTGGGCACGGGCTTCCTGGCGCGTGACCTGACGGTGGAGAACGCGGCGGGTCCAAGCAAGCACCAAGCCGTGGCGCTGCGCGTGAACGCCGACCTCTCCGCCTTCTACCGCTGCAGCTTCGCGGGGTACCAGGACACGCTGTACGCCCATTCCCTCCGCCAGTTCTACCGCGACTGCGACGTCTACGGCACCGTCGACTTCGTCTTCGGCGACGCCCCGCCGTGCTGCAGGGCTGCAGCCTCTACGCGCGCCGCCCGGGACCCGGGCAGAAGAACGTCGTCACGGCGCAGGGGCGGGAGGACCCCAACCAGAATACGGGCATCGTCGTGCACGGCGGCAAGGTCGCCGCCGCCGCCGACCTGGTCCCCGTGCTCGGGAACGTCTCGTCCTACCTCGGCAGGCCGTGGAAGCAGTACTCGCGCACCGTGTTCGTGCAGACCAAGATGGAGGCGCTCGTCCACCCGCGCGGCTGGCTCGAGTGGAACGGCACCTTCGCGCTCGACACGCTCTACTACGCCGAGTACATGAACCGCGGGCCCGGCGCCGACACCTCCGCAAGGGTGTCCTGGCCGGGCTACCACGTGCTCACCAACGCCACCGACGCCGCCAACTTCACCGTGCTCGACTTCATTCAGGGAGACCTCTGGCTCAACTCCACCTCCTTCCCCTACACATTGGGCTTCACCTAGCTAGCTGGCTAGTAGAATTTTGAGTTGCTTCAGTTCTTCTGGAATACTGTAACGGTTCACCTAGCTCAGGTTTTCACTTCACACGGTTCCTATTTAATTACTACCTAGAGGTAATCCTGAAGCTGGACCTGCAATCACCGCATGTGTTTCGGTCATTGCTACTGCTGTATGATTCTTTGGTGAACAATCGATAACGGCCGAAGGCTAGTAATCTATGCAAGGGAAAGTGTACAACGGTTCATTGACGACTATATAACGCCATTACTGTTTATTCATTCATTGTCTATTCATCTGAAACACTGTGTGTGGCTAGTAGAATTTTTTAGTGGCTTCAGTTCTTCTGAAACACTGTAACAACGGTTCAGCTAGCTCAGGTTTCACTTCACAGTTTCTATTTGTTACCAACCGCTAATCCTGAAAGCTGGATCCGCAACCACCGCATGCGCTTCATTGCTACTACAGTATGATCCTTTGGTTAACAGTCGTCAACGGCCGAAGGCTAGTCATCTATGTATGTATGGAAGGGAATGACCCCCTCATTGCTTCTGATTCGTCTGGATCTGCTGTACAAGAAAAGCACATTATGAGCTACAGGTTTACCGCCAGTTAATCACTGTACATCCATCATTCGCAGCAAACATTGGAGAGTCTTATTCGGTTTTGTGGGCTGATAATATCTAATGCCGGCCGTTGACATGTCTAAGTACCACCAAGAGTACAAAGTGTACAACATACATTGATGAATATATAACGCCATTATTTACTCATCATCTATCAACCAGCGATGTTCATTTATGTGTGCTGCCTGCCATCCCCTAACCCTGTGAACAGAACAGAACAGAACAGGTTGATGTTCATTTATTCATTGCCAAAACAACTCACTTTCACAACCTAGCCCTCTGCAGCTCCAGCTTCGCGATTGTCCCGAGATGGACTTCATCGGGACCGTCTGCAATCCGCAGTGTCCTAGCCGTTGCCCACAGGTGCGACAGGACCGTGCCCGATGAGACACCAGCTGCGCCATGAACTTGCATCGCCATGTCAAGCACCTTCAGGGCCATATTTGGAGCTGCCACCTGCATGGAGGCCACCCAGCTTTGTTGAACCGTTTTGATAAAACCGTTAAAAAGAAGGTGATGACCAAGTTTGGTTTACCTTGGCCATCGCGAGGATACAACGAGCTTTCTTGTTCCCATGTCGATCAAGTTGATCGGCCGCTTCAAGAACTAAAAGCCTAGCTTGCTCCAGTTCAATCCGACACTGCATTCCACACCCATGCATGTTAGTGGAATGCAGTGAACAAAATCACAAAGAGGGGAAAAAATGTTACAGGTTAAAACTGGAACATTCTTAATTCATTTATCAGTTCAGAACCTTAATTAGAAGCGAACCAGCATACCTTTGCAAGATCTGACAAAAAGGAACCATGCTGTGCAATCCTCTTTCCAAATGCGGTCCTACTTAAGGCCCTCTCTACCATCAGATCCATGCCACGTTCTGCTGCCCCTACTAGCCTCATGCAATGATGTAACCTTCCAGGACCAAGTCTTCCCTGCGGAGCATCTATATATCACACAAAGCACAAGTTACAGTAAAAGCATTGGTAATAACAGCAAGGCACTGCTTACTTGAGCAATCTCAAAACCCCGCCCTTCTCCAAGCAGGATATTCGTTACTGGAACACACACATTTTCAAATGTAATCTCTGCGTGTCCATGAGGTGCATCATCAAATCCAAAGACTAACAATGGTCTCTTTATCTGCACCCCAGGAGTGTTGATATCCACTAAAATCATGGACTGTTGCTTATGCTTAGGTGCAGAGAAATCTGTCTTTCCCTGAATCAAATAAAAACATCCAACATTCAAACAGAAATATGGAATACTGATGATAGCAATATCACGTAGCTATAAATAGATGCAAGTTACCATCAATATCAGGATTTTGCACCTAGGATCCATGGCTCCACTGGTCCACCACTTCCTTCCATTTATCACATAAAAATCTCCTTGCCTGTTGAGAAGGAAAAATAATAACAAGAGATCATAAGTACACCCATAATGCACAAAGTTCAAACAAAAAAAGACACCCCATCTATTTAAATTACCAGAAGAGAACAACATATCATGCAAATATAACTATACTTAGAGCTTTCATTTAACTTGTTTCTGGATAAAAGTGGGAAAATAAAAGGTTGGTTACAGTAGGATCATAATGAGGCGAGCAAGAGAGGGGAACAGAGAAGCAACTATAGGCAATGAAACATTAACATCCAAACGGAGTACCATTGACAGGCCAGTAAACATTTTTCTCCCCCTTTTATTACCTGGATATTGAGCACTCTATATTTGTTGCATCTGAAGATGCAACTTGTGGTTCTGTCATTGCAAATCCAGAACGAATTGTCCCTTCCAATAAAGGAACTAGCCATTGCTTCTGTTGCTCCTTAGTGCCATACCTCAACAGGACCTGATTGATATATCCGTATCATGTATTGTCACAAAACAAATTATTCATGCCGATTGGCAATTGCAATGAATCACTTAAACCGGAAGACAAAGATTCTTCTACAGATAAAATATTTTCTATTTACATGGCTAGAAAACAATGTCAGATATAATAGTTGCACTCTAAGATTTTTCGCAACGCTACAAAATATGCCGAGCAGAAATTTAAGAAACAATTATTTCTCCAAATATGCATCATTAATGGGGGTAGATCTAATGGCCTCCACTGCAACTTTTAAGCCAACTATAACAACTTAAACCAGTATTCTCCATAAGAGAATGAAGAGCATTTTTCTCTTACCTCCATGTTACCTGTATCAGGTGCACCACAGTTAAATATTTGTGGAGCCCAAACTGAACGTCCCATAATCTCACACAAATATCCATATTCAAGATTTGTAAGACCCGCACCCAGCAAAAGATCATTCGAACTTCCAAGGGAAATTTGAGAATGGTCTTCAAACAGTAGCTTTCTAGCTCTAGCTGCACTGTCTAGCTGCAGATCAATGATTTTAGTTAGCACAGATGAAGCAACTACAAAACAGATGAACCCTCCATTAACAGAAGAAACATAATGTGGCAAATTTTTTGAATAATGTAAGCACAAAGGGTTTCAAAGGAGGGAAAACATACTGGAATAAACAAGTTCCATAGGCCCTCCTTCTTTGCCAATGCTTTAAGATTTTCTTCTTCTGGATGAATTGTCCATCTTGAGGTTGATTGTGCATGTTTGTAGAACTCACCCTCCATTGGGTATATGTGATCTTCAATAAACTTTATTAGTTTCTTTTGAAGCTGCATAACCTTTTCACTAGGAACAAATTTGCCTTGATTCTTTTCGGAAGTTAAATTTTCTTCCTCTGTGAAATTCTTGCCACGGTGCTCCTGAGACTTGAAAACCTAAGTTGAATGCAAATGATGGTCAAAACACAAATAGCCTACACAGTATCCACAAACAAGACTCCGCTGCATGGCAGGAGGTTGTTGAGATGAAATTACTGAACACAATTACCCCTAGAAGGCGGTTCTTGTAGGACATTTACTCTATTTATGAAGTCCCAGGCGCAGTCAACCATAACGTTACCAACCCTGCCAGCAAATTTAGCGCGCTCACCACCTGAAGCATTACCCTGTGTGCCAGCTCAAGTAAATGAGAATAAATAAGAAGTCTTGGCTTCCGGATTTCAGGAGTTTAAGACATGTACCATAGTCCATCTGTGATATACTCCTGCATAGATTGATGCCCCACGAAACAAAGAAAAAGCAATGTAGAATTTCCAATTTGCAGCAGGCCAGGGTCTTGCCTGAGAAATATTTAGAACGAGTGAGGGAAAGCAGCTAATAGAATGCGGCTTTTGCCAACCTAGAATAAGTGAATTTGATGCTTACAGAGTAAGAGCAGTATACAGAAAGGTACTCTTCCAGTTGAGGAATCCCATCTGGAATGCCAGTATGTTGAAATCCTCCATAAAAAGTCCTTTCAGTGGGTGTTGCATCAATAATATATGGCTGAAAGGGGAAGTCATAAGAGTCAACCAAAACAAGTAACCTACCATTGTAGTGAAACAAAAAGCAAGAAAAATGCGACAAAAATGGATATCTATATATCGTTATTGGGCATGGGGTATGGTACAACTTCAGAGGCAGTGATAATAAGCCCCCAAATATAAAATGAGACCAGTAAGATTAAGCAGCACTGTTTACTGCATTAGAGGGGCACTGCAATAGAAGAGAGATCAGATCCACTCCATTTGGCCAGGCTTTAAAGGGTTACACAAAACATCTTACACAACTCTTATCTCTAGCAACAGTTTCTATTGATGGTCGCTACTATGCAGTAAAAAGAAAAATATGGTACAAAAATCAAATATGCGCTCTTCTTTGAAACTAGCTCGAGCCTTGAGAGAAGTGAAAGTAAGTAAAATGTGTATTTAAATGAGTACACCAAACAGTATCACATTCAAATTTCAAAGAACTACCATTGTCAGAATATAGCAGGAAGAGATGATGCAAAAGGAATGCATTACACTAAATATAGGCGATTGATGCCTAACAATGTTAAACTAAGAAAGTACTTCATACCAAGCAGCTATAAGCAACATCACACATCTGATTCCCCAAAGTAGATAGTTCCCAATCAATAACGCCAATTACTCGATCCTGTATACAAGCAGATATAATTGTCTTACAAAACATGTAAAATTATATGCCCAACACAGACGAATCCACAAACACTTGCAATGACAGAAATCCAGACCTCTGTTGGATGAAAAACTAGATTATCAGGGCGGTAATCACCATGGACAAGACCTGTTCCTGATGCTGCTGAGGAATCTTCTTTTGGTACATGTTCTTTCAACCAACGAGCTAGATCAAGCATCCTCTGATAACGTGCAGGCTTCCCTTCACCAGTGGATGCAAGATATTGCCTCTCCCATCTTTGTACCTGAAACACGAAACAGAAACAGAAACTATCTTCAAATGCAATGGAGTATCACAGAAAAACATCACACAAATCAATACAACTAGGAATCTCTTCCTTAACCTGAGTGATCAAGCTACAGTTGTCAGGCAATATCCATTCATGCAGAAAAGAATAACTGGAATCGATACTTGTGTCGCTTATAGACTAACAAGTTAAGAACAAATAAATGATTGCAGCTTAAGAGTACGTTCATTTAGACACGAATGAAGAGAGGGATATTTGTTTATAAACTTGTTATTCAGTAAAGGTTACTAAACTGAGGGAGAGAGAAACGGAAGGAGGAATCAGAAGAGTGAATCAACATGCATGAAATATGAGTAATTAGAACCTACTTGTCTTTTGCAATAATTGTCTCTTCTCCCATACTTCTGCAATCCAATGGCATCAACATCAACTTTGTGTATAGCAGCCAAAGTTTTGGCAGTAGAAAAATATATAGCTCGCCTTTTAGATGGAGTCACCCCCTGTAAAAAAGGAACAAAAATAACAAAATCGAAGTTAGCACAAATAAGAACTTGATGTTTTGATAGTTTAAATTGTGTTAGATATATACTAAACATTACCGAGGAAAAATTCTCGAGACAGTTTGAAGTTCTAGTCAGTAAACAAGTACATGGCTAAATGTGATAAACGAACAAGACTGGGAACACAAAACAAGCAGCATACCGGCAACACGCTATCAGGATATATTATTCCTTCCAGATACTCCATTATATAGAAAGGAGTTCCAATTACACTTGCATCTGTGCATAGACAATAAACCTTCGGGACAGGAACATCTGTGTGATCACCCAGAGCTTTGAGAACCTGCTTCCCGATAGGAAATGAATCACTGAGTAAGCTCATATCCTTAATCAGAAGGAAGGCAATACTTCATAAGGCCAAATCTCGCCGCAGTTAGATAACTCAAAGTGATTTTGGATAAGCGCAAAACAATAAACTATCTAGTAAACAGAAATCAAACGTTCCCAGAGTAAATTTTCAACAATATACTGAAGTAAATTTTCAACAATCTAGTAAGCCCAAAAGAGTACAATATCTAGAGCAGTGAAATATGAAATGCCGTTGCATTGTTAAACAATGAAATGCGATGGAAGGACATGAAAGAAAAGATGACAAAACAAAAAGTCGAATCAGTACTGATTCTGCCCTTTCTCTTCTTATATATACTGTTATCTGCCCTTTCACTGTTCCAATCTGAGCTTTCGACATCAGTACGACAAACCGATGGGTGAATCGCATCCACTAGCACATCGGATTCGCGTCGTTTTTGATGCGCACGGCGTACGGAACCGAGACCAAGCCGCAGAAGAAGAGCGGGGCGGGGGAGATGGAGATGAAACCAGACCGGACCTGGTACTCGCGCTCGACGGCGTGCGCGGACTGGAGGATGGCCCCGGGCGGCTTCTTCCTGAGCACGTAGCGCCTAGCCGGGCCCCCGCCGGGGGCGGAGGCGGATGCGTGGATGCAGTAGGTGGGGTTGGACTGGCCATGCCCGAACTGGGTCAGCGACAGCGCCGGCGCGGGGCCCGGGAAGCCCGGGACGTTGGCGGCCAGGTAGCGCAGCAGCGCCGCCTCGTCCGGCGCCGCCGCCGGGTCGACCGGCCGCAGCAGCTCCGACGTCAGCTTCGCCATCCTAGTCGGCAGCAGCAGCGGGTCGGTTGAGGAACCGAGGAGGAGACGGCGATACCGAGGGAGACGAGACAGCGTGGACGGATTTGGGTACGCAGCTCTCGCTCATGTTTGGGAGGGAGAGATGGGAGTCGACGCGCCCACGCTCCTTTGCCGCCGTGATGGATGGGAATCGGTTGCGTGTCATCTCTCTCTCTCTCTGATCCCGCGCAACTCATCAGTCAGACTGATCCTGAAAGTGATCCGAAAAGGTAATACGGAAAACGAAAACCGATTAGCCGTGGTACGAGATTTCCCCAACTAAAAAGAAACTGTGAGAAGATTATGCTCAAATAAAAAAAAAACTTTACATTTTGCTAAAACCAAAAACTGTAAACAAAATATCGAAAATGCAATGCCATGTTTGGTTCATAAGAATCGAGAGGAATTGGAAAATAATCTGAGATGCATTTTTTAAATATCAGGGATTGGAAAGTAATCTAAGAAACACTTTTTAGATATTGATTTTAATTAATGGATCCAAACATGTCCTAAGGGAATTTCACATGTATTTATTTGTCTACATAAAGATAGTACGTACGACTAATATTAGGTAGGCTAAATGGTGAGTTTGGTCGTTGTGTTCTTGTAGAGACTCAAGATCCTTTTTATTTTATTTGGCTTCATGAATGAGGTGCGGATCTAAGGTAGTGTTTGGTTGGAAGTTAAAGTGGAATGTGACAGTCCTAACTCTGTTTCGTAGGACGAGACGACTTTATTTTCTATTTGATTGAGGAGGGATGGGACCAACCTATTTTCTATTTGGTCAACAGACAACAGAAGTGGAATCAGTTACTGACAAGTGGGACCCATCTGTTAGTTTTTTCCTTTTTTCTCCGTCCTCTCCTTATCTCTCTCGTCCCGAACAGCTGCCCAAACTAGGCGTGTACCACGATGACTCCATCGGCGAGCACGACCACACCCCGCCTCCGCCGCGTGCTTCCCCGAGGAAGCGAGCTTGGTCGTCCACCTCGCCGGTGAGCCTGGCCATGCGCCACCCGGTGCCTCCTCCGTTGCGGCGGCAGGGCCAGCCCCAGAGCTTGCGCCAAGGACCTCCTCGCGGCTCGTCGAGGGCGGAGGTCGCCAGGACCAGGCACGACGACGCCAGGGGCGGATCTCGTCGGGCTGGGCACAACGGCGCCAGGGGCGGAGCCCGTGCTCCTATGGCCATGCGCCGCTTCTTCCTCGACTCCGGCAACTTCGGTGAGTCCCTGCTTCTTCCTTCTCCCTCAACTGCGGCAAGCTCCCGCTCCTCTCCTCGTTCTTCTCACGCGCGCGTGCGTCTCGTCCCACGAGGACGGCCCCATCCGTTGTTTTTTTGGGGGTCCAGGCGAGCTCGGTCTTGTGCGAATATTCGCTTGTGGGACATCCTCGCCCCCGGTTGCCTCCGAACCAAACAGCGGTTGTCTTGGGGCCATCCCATCCTGTTCCTCCTCATCCTCGCATGCAAATGCTACCTAAGGTACTAGTGTTTAGACGGAGAAACAAAAGGTTATACAACGATTACTCCTAAAAAATTCCTAAGGCACTAGTGTTTAGACAAAGAAACAAACGGTTATACAACAATTACTACTAAAAATTAATCAAATGCTAACAACATAGTACATCAAAGTCCAGTTAGGTCCGTTACAACCACCACACTCTAATATATATACAATACAAAGAAGAACAATAGCAATGTTTTAAGACACACGACTTGTTACCTGTGGCCTAGGAAGTGGGTTAATCGTTCCTTCGCCTATAGCCGCAGCATCGTTCACATCCAGAGTCAACAGGTGGGCCGTGCTTCTAGACGCGGGTGGTGGGCCGCTGGACGAGATGGGCCTCCGAGGATGAGGTTCGAGTTGGGAAAAGTTCATTCTACCTTAGTAAATTGTTAGAGTTTGTTTGGAAGTGCGGTATTCAATCTATAACCCTGGTAAATTATAGCTTGTGAAACATATGCAACATACAGATCAAAACGCTTGTAACATATGTCTGGAACAGATAAAACATTTTGACTAAACTCTTGCAACATATCTCTGAAACACTTGCAACATATACAATATCCCCGATCTACTTTTACAACATCTGTATAAAATAACTGCAACATACCTCTGAAACGTCTGAAATACTTGAAACATACATTTGCAACATAAGGGAGGGGGAGCGCCTGTGCCGATCAATGTCCGGAATTGACCGACACATAGGGGGAGCTCCCTCCCGTCACGCGCGAGCACCACAAGCATCCAGCGCCAGCGACGCGTGCGAGCACCACCGCTACTAGCACCGGGCTTAGTTCGGCTGGGGATAGCACGCGCGACGGGCAAAGCGAGCACCACCAACACCAACGCGTGCGATGGGAGGGAGCGGGCGGCGTGCGCGACGGGGCGAGAGCGAGCGCCGGCAGCAGCTTGGGGAGTGTGCGTCCGTGTCCAAGACGGGCAGCCGCAAGGCGCTTTGACAAGGGAGAAGGAAACGGAAGGGATAAGGATGGGTGATTTTCTTTTTTAATAAACTCGTGAACAGAGCAAGCGGCGGGGTAAAAACGCAAGCAATGAGGTGGTAGATCTTTAATCGTTCCTTCGCCTACACCCGCAGCATCATTCACATGATCACATCCAGAGTCAACGGGTGGGCCGTGCTTTTGGACGCAGGTGGTGGGCTGCTGGACGAGATGGGCCTCCGAGGATGAGCCTCAAGTAGGAAAAAGTCTATTCTACCTCTACGAGTGCTAAAAAATCTCTACAAGTTATTATCGTAATTTATTTTCTCTCTTCGAATTTCGAAACAAGACATATCTATCTATACCTTAATAATAAAGAGATAAAATTTTAGATTATTTTTTCATCCATCTATTTTTTTGATCCGTCCCCCTCTAACTGCCGGACAATAGAGAGTTTCTTCTGTCCGGACTTATATATAACCTGTGCTCATACGAAATAGCTCACGTCTAAAATGATATGGAGTCCGATTCTATGATTATTGGGTTCCGTTGTAAGACATGGACACGTCTTCTATATACCTATAATATATAATATAATACTACAAAGGCAAAATCCCTGCCTTAATTTTCTTTGGTTATCAAACTTTTTCCGGCTCCGTGTGCCGTGTTTGTGTCATGTTCCGTTTTGTTTTTCGGTTGGCCGTCGTCGGCTCCGTATCCATGAGACAAATATCCCTTCTCCATCGGCGGATAAGGAAAAAGAGAGACGCGTGAGAAGAAAAAGGAGAGGGAAAAATGAAGAAAAAAAAGAGAAAAAAAGAAAAAAAGAATTAAGAAAAGAGAAAAGAAAAAAGAAAAAATCAACCATTCCTACTTCGCTTCGGTCGTTTTGTTTCCGTTTCTTTAATTCCTTTTTTTGGTCACCTCCCATATTCTTGCATGGAATCCTAGCTTCTATTTTTCTCTCTTTCCCTTATGGAGTTCTAGTTTCTATTTTTCTTCCTTTTTCCCGTGGTGTGAGTTTCTGCTTTCCGTTTTTTCTTCTTTGTTTTTTCGTTCTGTCCGTCCACTTATGTTCTTCTTTTTTCCTTTCTTTCTGTCCGTGCGCTTCCGTTTTCTTATTTTTCTTCTCTACACACCGGTGGTTTCTTTGTAAAGTTAAAAACCCATCTATACCTAGTTGTTGGGATGTCTTGCCGGAGTTAAAGCTGCTGTGCAATTGGGGATTAGTAAGATTGTGCTGGAAACTAACGCTTCTTTAGTCAAGTCTGCAGTAGAGAGTATGAGTATAGACTTTGGGCGGGGTTATTACTGAGCTTCGGCTACTGCTGATGTCGGAGTTTGTGGAGGCTAGAGTACAAGTGTGTCTTAGATTATGTAATAAAGTTGCAGATGCTTTAGCAGCATTTGGGTGTAATTGTCCCAGTGATGATCAAATCACTTGGGGGATGTACCTCGTTTTGTCGAGAATTTGGTGACCAGTGATTTGGCTGAGTTTAATGAGTAATGAAGTTTCTGATTAAAAAAAAGAGGCAATTTTTTTTGCAACTTTATATTTTCGTCCAACCTAATTATGGGCCTAAATTTGCTCGGACTTGTGTTGGGCCTAATTCTGCTCGGACTCCCGTTCAGCCCAAGACTTGCCTTCTTTCTATTCCGTGGAGACACAGCACCGCCGTCCACACGCAGGGCCAGTTGCAAGACTCTCCACGCCGCTCGTGCTTCCCTCCGTCCGATGCTGTGCTGCCCCAATTTCCTCCGTACGGTCGCCGCTGCTGCGTTTTCCGACGAAGTCGCTGCGTCAGTGCAACCTCCGTTGCTCCCCCGCCATGTTCTTCTTAAACACGCCACCGCTCCCCTCTTGTGCCCAAGCCGGCTTGCGTTTTTCTTTAGAAAAATAAATCCAGATATACCATCTGATTACATTAGCCGTCCATCACCTGAAATTTAATCATCTCAATACCCCTTTATCATGGACTTGGTCCACGGTGAACCACACACACATGCCACCTTCGGTCCACGACCCATGGACCGAGTCCGCAGCATGTGCACGCACACTTTGCAATCTAGCCTCCACTTCTGCCAAATAAAACCAATGTTCGCTGAGTCACGGAGAACTCATCTGAATTCTCCAAAAATCTATAGTTAATACCGCATAGATCCCTGCCAACAATAAACCTTCCAAAAGAATTAATTTATTATGCAGAGATCTCATGGAAGGAGAGAGAAGGAGGCGATCGAGCGAGTAGAGAGGAGACAACAACTTGGGCTAGACGTGTGTATGAGAAGTATGCGTGAGATGAAGTCTACTCCAAACTGAGATATGGGACCCAGAGAGACGAAGACAAAAAAAATACTACTGTGATACATAGTTTCTTAAAGTGGTCGTTGCCTAACAATGTATTAACTATCATTATTATAATAATGCTTCATGTCGGGTTCATAAACCCGGGGTCCCTCGCGGACCAGCTTTCCAACAAAGGCTCGGCCCAAGCAGACAACGCGCAACTCATGGGCCGGCCCAAGTATCTAAACAACA